AAATAAACAAGAAGATAGACAACAGCAGTTGCAAGAAAACCTGCAACAGTGGCAGCTCGAACAACTCGTTCTTCTTGTTTCATTTGCTGCTCTTGTATTGCTGCCATCAAGTCTGCTAAGTTGTAGTTTGATTTTCCGCCTTTCATTTCCATTTTTTTTTCATCCCACTTCTGACACTAATTTGTTACGTTTCTGCCTCGGTCTCCACTACTGCTTCGACTCCGTCTCTGCCTCGTCTGTCTCTCTCACTGTCTAGCGCACTTATATACGATAATACTACCTGTTCTAGAAACTTCTAAGACTCTCAACACGTGCCACCAGCGTCAATTGACTCCCGCTGTCGCAACACACTAGCGAATCTTCTAGAATATTCGTCACGTTACCCCCGCTGTCGTAACACACCAGCGAATCTTCTAGAATACTCGTCACGTGACCCCACTGTCGTAACAACACTAAAGAAATCACCTGTTAAGGCTAATCACTCACACGCCGGCTAACTTCACATTTTCTTTCACTAACTACCTTTATTCTATCTTCACTTCTTGTTCACTAATTTCTTTAGAAAACGACGTCATGGTTAAACTGCCAATTACTCAGTCTAATCATCTCTCAGTTAACTTTCTTTCTTCTAAATTCTACATTGAATGAATGAACTTGGCAGTAATCTATGTTTTAGATCTCACTAGCCCCTTTCGAGATTGACAGTCAACCCAATAAGCTCAGAAACTACTGTTTCTTCTAAGTTCTATATTGTTGGACGCCTATTTATAACTATTCCGATTGAGGCCTAGTTCTTTCTAGCCCTCTAGTGACAACAGTATCACCTACAGCTTGAAAAACTTGGAAGCTTTGAGTAAGATGACATCAACAATACTACTGTTAAGTCTCTGCTCGTTAGTTTTTTCTGTAAAAATTCTTTTCAAAAAAACTTTAGCGATACAAGTCCTTTCTTAAATAAAACTGGTTTATTCTTTCTGAATACAACTTTGCAATACACTTAATTTCCATAGTCGCTCTATAACAAACACTATAATTCACAAGGAACGTCTCACGTGCTCAACAATACGTCTCTCTCTGTCCGCAGTTCAATTACATCGCTTCGTGGCCGGTCTTATATATACAAGACTACCCCATATCTAGTAGTCTCCCGATGCTTCATGAACGTTCTAGAAGCGCGTGACGTGTTACGAGGGTCACGTGATCTCCGCTGTCGTAACACTACTAAAGCCTAGTGCGACAATTATACTGCATAAACAACTTATGACTTGTATTGAGTTACATAATAAATCTTGTCATAACTATTGCTTTTAAAATGATTAACTTTAAACACCCTTTTTAAGAAAACTAAATAATAATTAAACATCAAATCACTAAACGAACCAAATAATAACTCTTACAATAAACATTCTTGTACATCCAACGAGCCTCAACCATAGATCAGACTGTTTCCGATATTTTGCATGCAGTGGATGACATTGTAAGTGATTCGTTCATTGTAATGCCTGGTGTGGATATGAGCTCTGATGTTGATGATGACAAAAGTTATTAACTTCTCTCAGCTGCAGTACAAGAGTCAATGGAAGACTCCATCAACAACCAGTCATCAACCTCCCTCTCGAATACGCTTAAGCAACCAATTCTAAAGGAGTATAATCCACAGAAGTTTGGGAGAGAAACATCTTACAAGGATTTCAATCCCCAGTGGTATAAAACAATCTCCTGAATTAGCTTTGACATGAGGAAACGTTAGTGTGTGTTATTTTCCTGCAGGAAGTTCATGGGAGATAGATCATTCATCTTCAAAAATTTAAAAAGATTCACAGACTCACAAAGCATTTGAGAAGTGTTAATCATAAGAAGGCAATGGCAAAGGGGATCAGTTTGAAAATAAACGCAAAATGTCAGACTTCTGTGTGGCATCAGTTGGATGTGGCTCATAAACAGCAGGTCCTCTGCAATCGCGAGTATTTACATAACACTAGAATAAGAAGAGATGAGAAGGATAGAACAAACATCAAGGAAATGTCTTATATCAAGAGAAGCAATTTCCTGGAATCATTGCATCTCAAGTGAAAGGATCTTCCCTGGCTCAAAGAGAAATTACAAAGTCCACACATCAATGGACATCACCAACCACCCAGAATGAGATACTAGAAATTGTATCCAATCTCGACATGAAACAGATCATCTATGATGTGCTGATGAGTGGAAAGTTTGAAATAATTATGAATGTAACCTTGAATATCAGACAAATAGAGCAAGTGGCACTCTGCATGAGATACATTTTGGAGGCATTAATTGGACTCTTCTCAACAGCATCAACTGAAGGGGAAGTGTTATATGAATTTGTGAAAAGGGTTATCAGTGGATTTGTCCTGAAGTTGGAGGACATTGTCGGTGAGTATATTCATGAGGCATTTAATATTAGTGGTGTTCGTAAAGGAGTAGTGACTTAAATGAAAGAGTGCTCACTGCAAGGAATATATATGCATTGCTATGGTCATCTCCTTAATCTCGAGCTGCAGGATACTATGAGTGAGATATAGCCAATTAGAAATGTGCTCAGGAAAATCCAAAGCCTTTATAATTTCTTGGAAGGGAGTTGAAAAGGTCATGCTCTATTTAACAATATTGAAGTAAAAGATGATCACATAATTTTTACACTAAAATCCTTGAATGTAACGAGATGGTCATGCCGATGGGAGGCAGTGAAACCTGTCACTGAGCAGATGTAAAAAAATTTCAAAGCTCTCCTACTCTTAGTGGGTGATAATGATGCTAAGACGTATGCTGACAACACTGCACTTCTGAATGCTGTTTGTGATTTTGAATTAATGTTTGGATTACTCCTTCTGAAGGTGATATTGTTAAATACCAGCAATTTTGCCCCAACAAAAGTTTTTGGGTTCATATGCCTATGTAAGTAGGATACCTTAGGGTTCAGTGTTGGGACCTTAGCTCTTTTCGATTTATATCAAAGATACAGATAAAGGAATGGTCAATAGGTTGTTTACATTTGCTGATGATATTAAAGCTTCTGGTGTTGCTGGCTGTGAGGAGAATGTTTTACAAAAGGATTTGGATTATTTGGTGAGTTGAAAAATTAATGGCAGATTTTTTTTTATTTATATGAAATGCAAAGTAATGCATGTGAGATATCACAATTTGAATTATGAGTATAATTTTGATGAGAATAACCTTAACAATGATATGGAATAAAAAGATCTTGGTGTTCTGGTTCACCAGTTTCTTAAGCCATTGAAGGATTTTAAGATTGTATAGGTTTGGTCATATTTGGAGTAATCTGTTCAGTCTTGGGATCCTTACCTTAGAAAATACAGTGAATTGTTGGACTAATGGGTTCAGAGAAGAGCTACTAGTATGATATATGAGATGGAAAGGTTGTCATACAAGAATAGGTTAAGATTTCTGAACTTGTTTTCTCTTGAGAAAAGAAAAGTTAGAGGGAATCTGATTGAGGAATTCAAAATTGTTAAAAGAATTGATAGTGTTGATGCATCATCTTTTCTGTGTTTAATATTGAGAATGGTAATACTAGGGGACATAAATATAACTTTTGGCATGGTAGGAGTCATTTCCAACTAAGACATTTTTATTTTTCTAACAGGGTGGTTGGTCTTTGGAATGGGTTGCCTTTAGATATTGTTGATGCAGTAAATTTAAGGAAGATTAAGAGGAAGCTTGATAATTATTTGAATAATAAGGCTTTGGGGTATTAGTTCAATTTAGTGGATAAGATACCCTAGATGTACCAAAAGGATTCTTGTTTTCCTCTAATGTTATGTTCTTGGCATTGTTATATTATATGCACCCTGCTGGACCCAGTGCTAGGAGGATATCTTGTGGCTGTTACATGGAGCAGATATATTTTCACATTTTGATGCCTTTTTACTGATTGGTCAGCTGCAAAGAGACTATGCTTTGCATATGGAGTTTTGGTGCTGTTGGGAAAATTTCATTCTAATCTTTGAGGAGTGCAGTTCGTCTTTTTGAGAGAATCAATACTATCCCAGCAAGTTTCATTCACATGTTAAACATTTATTAATCCTTTATGTTGATCTTGTAAGTTACCTTCTCTCAATCTTTAGTTTTACATTCAGTTTTATTCTACTTTGATTTCACTATCTTAGCCTAGAAGTCCTGCAAAACAATTGTACATGAAAGGTAAAATAAATAATCCTGATTTGTTTGTTTCTTCTTTATTGCACTTGTTCTCACATTAATATTCCATCTAAACAAATCTTCAAACCTCTTATTACAAGGACATAGCTTATCTGTGAGTCATTATTACAATAAACCAGTAATATCACAAAGGAACCCAATATTCATTTCTCCAAATGTAGAATTAATTCACTTTCTGAGCTTACTGATCAGTATTGATATGAAAGCACAATGTACAGTGAGGTGCAAGGTGAATCTTGTAAGTCACATACATACAACCATTCAAAATAAACAATACAGATAAACATAACACTATTTGTGATAGAATATGGTTAATTGCTAAATTATACCATGTTACTGTAAACTGAGAAGGGAATGTGATGTTTTTGGCTTCTAAAATAGGTTCTTACTTGATAAACAGGAAAAAACACAATTATTTCTGTAACAAACAGGCACAAGGAATTCCATTTCTCTCAATTAGTGATAAAATCTCATGTAGTAAATATTATCTCATTAAATCCATCGAAATTTAAAAGACTTTTGCAAATATAACTTTACATTAAACTGGAGCCTTCCTTGATCATAATACTTTCATTGAATTTTGAGAAAATAAACACAAGGACTTTAGAAAGTTACAACTACATCAATTACTGACATTAAGATAAAAAACACTAAAAATATTACTAATCACCTTTACCAATCAATAAATATGGTCTTATAAGCACACTTTTGATGAAACTCTATGCTACAATAAGAAGCTAGATTGTTTGGAGAGGTAAAATCCAAAGTAGGCACAAATAAAAAAATTGAAAACATACCTCAAGCATTTTATTTAGCTGATGGGGTACTTTGTCATTGAAAGCAGCCAGAACCATTGACATAACAACCAATGGGTAGTAGACCATGAATATGATGTATTCCTTCTCTCTAAGGGGAGCATAACCCTTTAATAAACAAACAATTTTTTAAAAAAGTCTAATAGAACAACTTAAGCAGAAAATATGATATCCTAATTTTTTTAATGAATAAGATAAAAATAATTAATTAAATATTTGTTCTGCATGATATGAGAATACATAAACTTCCTACCCCTTAGTTACTAGATAATTGTTTTTTTAATTTTAAGTATTGGTGAAGTATTCAAGTATTAATTGCGTTATTAATATAAAATGTCAGTCAAGAGAACTACTGATTTTTTCTTACTTTAATCCATGTAACTGGGTGAGTCACCAAGGCTATCTCATGTGCTCTCTATTTAATAGGATTACTGTAGCATGATAAAATACAGATAGCGACAGTGATTTTTTCCTACTAGTAAGTCAAATGATGACTCAGTGACATAACACCTCTTGTTGATGATGAGAGTGGCCCCAGTCATATAGATAGCAAGTGTGCTTGGTTTGATTGTTTTGAATTTCGTGCAAAGCTACACGTGGGCTATCTACACTATCCGTCCCTAATTTAACAGTGAAATACTAGAGGGGAAGCAGCTAGTCATCACTACCCACCGTCAACTCTTGGGTTACTCTTTTACCAACGAATAGTGGGATTGACCATCATATTATAATGCCCCCATGTCTGAAAGGGTGAGCATGTTTGGCAGGATGAGGATCCGAACCCGCGGCCCTCAGACTGCGACCCATAAAAGATTGTACACAAGTTTGTTTTTCTACAGAAGGTCTACATACTTAGAAGTTAAATTGATTTTTTAGACACACACACTGTATCATTGCTATTTTTTCTCTAATGAACTAAGGTGAGCATATCTGAACACCCAAGTAACAATTCTGGAGTAGTATCATGGTGCTGTGCAGCTTCCATATTCGCTCATCTTTCCTCAGAATGATAGTTTCAGAGGTTGTATTTGATAGATATTGATTTGATCTTTATATCATGACATAATATCAGATATCAGGTAACATAGGGCCCAATATGCCTAAACGCTCTATGTTAGTATATTTTAGATATTTTGTACCTTACAAAAATAGAAAAAATCAGGACCTTTGATTTACCTTTTATGTATGGACTTCTCTGGTAGTGAATGGTATAAACACATATCAGCAAGTTGAAGGTTTCTGATATTCTCATGTGCACTGATTTCTGTCAAGAGTAATCACTTCTAGGTTTTGCAGATTAATAGGAGGCTCAGAAGAAAATGTTATGCAGTATTAAACTATAGGCTATGACTTTGACTGAGTTGTGAAGAATAAAAAAAAGACTTGACAAAGTGTATGACAATGGAAAACTTTTTTTTTATATATACAAAACAATGAAGATGAATGCATTTACTAAGTTCAACACCTGTACTGGAGACTTCAGAGATCACTGTGAAGAAGAATCTCTTGATCTCCTGAGAAAAATCTGTTTTAGACTAAGAAAACAAAGAATTTTATACATGAAACAATAATGTAATTCTTCTTGGGATGTGTGTGCTATCAGTGCTGCTGTTGGTCATTTCTATAAAAAAGGAAGTTTTTATACTCTAGGTATTGTGCTAATTTCAGGTCAACTGATTTTTCTAAAGAGTAAATTAGGTGGGTCCTCTATAAATGAGATTTTTAGTAAAGTAAATAGTAAAGTAATACTGAGTTTCACTAAAACTGATTGAATCAGTGTTAAGAAATAAATGAAGTGGACACAAAGTTTGATATACGCTGAAAATAATCTTTATTAATTAATATCACAAACACAATGTGTGTACTTGTATTGGATGCTGGAGAATTGTCCTTACAGGAGTTGTGAATTAACCAAGCTATCTCAACAACTGATAGATGTTCCAGCCTGACAAAATCTCGTTTTTTTACTTAGTTGAATTGGTAACATCCGAGTTACTTTTTGCAACTAGTACTTCTCACGTGACTGGTAATTCCCATCCAAACATAAGGAAGGTTGTCTCATTGATATATCATCTGACCCCATTGTAGAACACCCCTATCGATCTTCTGCTATTCTACCCGTGGGCAGACCAGATATTTTCTCCAAGAGAATTACAAAGAAAAGAGTTATTTATTTTAAAATGAACTTAACAGCTTTTGTGGTATTCTCAGATAAACGGATTTCATCGCAAATATTAGACTGGTCGGCTTAATAACAGAAGGATCAAACAGGAAATTTATGAAGTAGTTAACTTGACAATCAACTGAGTTTTACTCTATATGAGAGAAATAAGGAAACTGGACACATAAGATCTTAAGTGAAACAATCTTCATTAAAAATAAAGAAATAACTACTGTGCTTACTTTTGTAGACAAATAGATAATTGCCGTTACTGGAATTAGTGAACCAATCAGCAGCCTTTCCTCTCTAAAGGCAGAACTCTTTTGTGCTGAACACGTCAACAAGCAGGTTTGTTTGTTTGTTTAGAATTTCGCTCAAAGCTGCACGAGGGCTATCTGTGCTAGCCATCGCTAATTTAGTAGTGAAAGACTAGGGGGAAGACAGCTAGTCATCACCACCCACCGCCAACTCTTGGGCTACTCTTTTACCAACGAATAGTGGGATTGACCGTCACATTATGACGCTCCCACGACTGAGGGGGCGATCATGTTTGGTGGGACGGGGATTCGAGCCCGCGACCCTCAAATTGCGAGTCAAGTCCCTAATCGCCTGGCCATACCGGGCCATGCAAGAACAAGAATAAAATTTTAAAGTGTATAGGTTCTGATCCTACAAGAGCCTTTGTATCCTGTCTTTGTGATAGCATCGCTGTGTGATGGTCGTCCTATGACAGCATCCATTGTCTGTAACATATAGACATAATCCATCATGCCAGTGAAGGATGTTGCTGTAGTCGATCTTTTCTAGAATAAGGCATAAAGTTACTTCAACATCCTTCTGAGTAAATCAGATATTATCTGCTGTAAAGAATAATGAAGACAGAAAGACGACTAGAACTAAACAATTTCAATGTTTTCTGGAACACGTGTTATTGTCAACTTTGCATAGGAAAAAAGTAAAACACTTTTTTTTTTACTAATTCCTGTGTAACTAAAGACGTTGGGAAAACATGATATGACGGCATATCACCATTTTGTCCTCCTCTGTGTTTTAGGCTTGACATCAGGCTGACAGTTAAAATTAAAATGAAACTCAATAAACTTTAAACTCGCGACATGGTTAAAAAGCACGTCAACTTTCCTTTTTTCCTAAGAATGAGTACATGGACAATACAAACCTTAAGCAAAGAAACACATCTTGCTATAAAAAATATTCTTTTAAAACTCAAAATCATATACTGCAATAAAACCCTTTGCCTACGATTTGAAGATCATAAAATAATACATAATTAGAAAAGAAAATTCTTTTATTTATGATTTTGATACAGTATGGTACATATAATAGAAAAAAATCTTTGAAAAACAAAAAATTATTACATTATGAAAATTGTTTGTTTGTTTTTAGAGCAGTGCCACGTTGGGCTATCGTTGTATCTGCTTTGTGGAATCGAGCCGCGGATTTTAGAATTGTAAGTCTGCAGATTTATCGCTGTCCCACCAGTGAACTATTATATAAAAGTAAAACCCTTAACAATGAATGAAATACAAAAAATGAATCCTTTAATAGCGTTACATACATAAAATAATTCCAATAAACTAAAAGTATGTAAAAGAAGAACTAGAAACACTCTAAATTTAATAATTATTTAAAGAAAGTCTCTTCACTATTTGCATAAGTTGGCAAAATAAAAACAACAACAAATATATGGATAAATACATTGGTTAAAGACTGAAAAGTAACATTACCTAGACATATACTACAGTTAAATTAGAAAAATATAATAAGTATACAGAACCTGTAACAGCTATTTACAAAATATACACTGGAAAGTGGCGCCATTACTTTTCTTGATGATGAAACTTCCAAATGGATACTTACCACAACCATTCTGACTTTGGCAGACCTCAGGCCAAACGTCCAGCATGTATATTATTGATAAAGAGATGGGGAGGCTGGCTATCACATGAGCTGTTTTGGCTTATATCTTCAATCAAGTTGGCATCTCCCCAACATTCCATTGAGTTGTGCCTGTGGTCCATCAAGTAACAAAAAATGTTTCTGAAATACTCAGTAAATGGTAGTAGAAAACCACTGGCTAGTTCAGAAACATGGTAATCAGAAGCATCCACCTCTCATCCTTAGTAAAGTGCAAATTCTAATGGGAGATCAGGTGAATTTCATCAGTCAAAAGTAGAGGTTAAGATGGACCATAAGATATAGCTACAACCATGAACTATGGCAGTAGGCATTAGCCAAGTGGCATGCCTACAGGTTTTGCATGTACTCATGCATTATATCATTCATAAAACATGTATTCTGAGAACCTGAGGACTTCTTAATACCCAGTCTTCTATTAGTATCCATTGACCAGCTACCTGTAACCATGCTGCTTTCTGTTGTCCCTGCCAGACGACAAAAATAAATATCATTCTCTCTAGTTGTCACATTGTAAGCACATAGTTTTAGAAGGAAGGAATTGGGTCAAAACTACAAAAGGTTCCTATACACTCAAGCTGACTCATGTTACGACATGCTAAACATTAACTTTGACCATTAGCCTTCATAAACACTTCCATCGTCTTTCCTTAGGGAATCTCTTTCGTTTACAAGTTGTGTACTAGTTTTTGGCGCAACCTACAAAGCATTCACAACAAAGGAATAACTTTTCATCTCCCCTAGTACATGTACTGCTTGCATTTTGAATCTGTAATGCCCGTAGAAAATGCCAAGAAAATGTTCAGTAAGACTTTGTAAAATATTTCAATCTGCCAGACTAAATATATATTACGACAACAAAAAACAAAACACTTAGTATACTAAATCACTGTCCTGATATTCAATCTCTCATCAGTGAATATCATTTAACACTGATAATTTCACCTACTCGTGAATATTTCAACTCAGAATCAAAATATGTTCTTCAATACTCTTTATGAGAAACACCAGG